TATAGGATTCTGTACCATGATAACTGCATTTTATGTGATTGAGAAATAGAGATCCCAACTGCATCCATTTCTCTCAGCTCACCCAGGAATTAACATCTGATCTCTTAGGGGACCAGCAGGAGATAGCCCTTCCAGGAAGAACTGTGTTCCTAGGAAGATCACAAAAAGTGGAAGCAGTAATGAAGATTTTATTTCTAAAATGAAATACTTTGTTTACACAATATGCCAACATATATGTCTTTTTAGCTAAAACACAAACTTTTGGAAATGGCCGGAATATAAGCAGGAGTTTAAGTATTGGGTGATCAAAGTCATCACCAACAACCAAAACATGCATCTGGATAAGACTGGGTTCACTTCCCAATTGTTTTACTTTTTCTCTAGGTCTCTCCCTCATTCCAACTGGTCCTACAACTCGCTGCCTTTTAGTGGATTACACTATCTCCATTCTAAAATTATTTCCATTTTCTTCCTTCCTTTACTTTCTTGATGGACTCTAAATCTTTTTAGGGACCTCAGCGTCACCGCTGGATTCTTTTGTACAGGTTCCCTCTTCTCCAATTCTGCCAGCCTTCTCAGAACAACAGGTGTAAGGAATTACTGTTGTTCTTTTTTATCATTTATGGATGTGTGTGTGTGTGTGTGTGTGTGTGTATGTGTGTGTGTGTGTGTGTGTATGCGCATGCGCGTTTGTGCACCAACTGCCTTTCTGCAGTCCTAGTTCTTGGTCTTACCATTATGAGTGCAGACCTGTGTCCCTGCACTGTGTCTGACCCACCAGTAGGAGGTGCTCTGACTCTGTCAATTTGCTTTGCTCCATTTCAAAGGCTGGAGAGGAGATGAATTGCTGCTTGGAATGTTCTTAACCAGGGTGATTTTCTATTATCAGAAGGACTTTTGGTTCTGATGAGTAGGGGTAGGGGCAGTAGTGGTACTTGATGGTTACAAGCCAGGAATTCTTCTAAACATCCCATAGTGCATAGGACAGTTCCCACAACACAGAAGTATACAAGCAATTCGTCAATAGTGTCAGTATTGATGAATCCTGGGCCAGGTATTGGGTTCTAAAGGAAGGTAATTTGTAGGCAGCTCAAGGACAAAGGAGCCATTCTATCTAGATTTCCCTAACTTTCAGGGTCTTGTATAGTGACTTTGCTCCCAACACATAGTGATATCTCTAGACTCAGAAAAGGGAAATCAACCTTACTCTCTCTGATGCTGGGGCCTGAGAAGGAAAGCAAGGGAGGAGACAGCAAACTTCTGTGGCAGCAAAGTGAAGGGAGGCATCCCCTGCTGCAAGAATAATTGTAACAGGCACATGCTGGTGGAACTTGCCCACTCCACGCAAGGCCACCCTAAAAATCCTAAGCCAACCTTTGGAAGGAGCAAGCTCAGGATAGGAAGGAGGAGACCTGATGAATAGGGAGATTATCACAGATGTCAAGGCATACAAAAGCACATGTTAGAGGATCCTCCAACCCCATTATGCTGCTGAAGACCAGACTCCTGAGCTAGTCCTGCCTGGCCTACTGTTGTGGTTTGTGTCTGGATGTCCCTGCAAAGCCTCATGCAGTTATAGAGGGTTTTGGACTCTGAAAATTATTTATGCTGTCACCACTCAAAAACAAGGTACTCCAGAGCTTTCTTCTCAAAGATAATCCTTTCACTTCTGCAATTTTGAAGTTGCAGAGTGTGGAGTCCTACTGCTTCTTGTGATATCCTCAGGCAATCTTTTTTATTCTCCTGTTACTGCTTAGCAATACAAATATACCCTACTCTATATTTTCAACTCACAGCTTTACTAGAGCTTCCTTTCTGGTCAAACTCACAGTGTTTTAAATCATTCTTGGCTTCTTGGCTTTGATTCTCAAAAATCTGCCCAGAAGACTCCAATTGTAGCCATGTCAATGCCTCAACATTAGACAGTCTTAAAATTTCTTCTTCCAGATTAGTCTGTCACTATTAATCTCAGTCTCAGGAAAAGACTCAGAATATGAGCACAGTGCAAACTTCCTGCCAAACCATAACACACATCATCTGGAGTCCAACAATCAATTCAGCCCTTCTTCCCAGAAGAAACCTCCTGAGCCTTACCAGCAGGATTTCTATCAGTCTTCTGCTCTTCTCAGCTCTAACTACAATTTCCCATACACAATGGCCTAAGGCATTCATTCCAGATCTTCTTTTACAGCTGGCATCTCCAAATGATTCCAACCTCTTCCCGCAATGCATTCCCAATGGTTAATCAACTACATGAGCAGGTATAGTCACAGCAATGACCCCAACTCTCTGGTACCAAATTTTGTTTTAGTTACTGTTTTGTCACTGCTGAGACAAACTACCCAATACTCAAAGTTAAAAGAGCAGTTTCATTTAGCTTATAGTCTGTAGAAATTTTATCTATACTTGTCTGACTGCAAGGCAGGGTGCTTGCTACATGGCAAAGGGGCAGCAGTTCATGATGGAGAAAGACAGCAAAAGCAATGAGAAATAGATAGACAAGCCTCTTTCTGTCCTTTATGTTGTATTGTAATCCCAGCCTACTGGTATTAGGGTGGTACCAATCCAGTCCGTGGACTAATCCCACAGCCACCATCCATCTCAGAACTGTTACCTCCATCATTGCACTACAAATCAACACATACTCTAGATTCAGCCTCCTTCAAAAAAGTCTAAGATTGCATGCCTTTGTTATTTTCACTCTTATTGCTGAGACAAAATGCCCAATGCACAACATAAAAAAATGAAAGGTTTATTTCTTAAAGCTCTTGGAAGTTTCAGTTCATACTCAGTTGGCTCCAAGGAAGATGGCATGGCAGAGCCATCATTCATGGCTGCCACAAACAGCAAGGCACGAACCAGCAAGAGAGAGACACACATCTTCTTCTAGCCATTACATCGTATGCTCGCTTCACCCCTAGGTGAGAGTAGCGCTCACACCACCAATCCAAGGGCTAGAAAATGAACCAATCACTAATGCTAGATTTGGTTGAGTCCATAATTGCATGAGGCTTGGGGTTCAGTGACATAAACCATGACACTGCATAAGACTTTGGGGGAACATCTAGACACAAACCATAACAATGTCCAAAACCATTTAGTTAAATTTTAAGCCATGTAACTTTGCAAACTTTATACATTAGAAGAATATTATGCTTTCCTTCTGACTCAACACATCCCTAGTTAAAAAAATCTAAATAATGAGTCTATTGAATTAAATAATAGGTAATTATCCTTCTGGCCGCAACATAAATTTATAAAATCATAACCTAATTGTAACCATAGTCATATAGTTCCTATTACAGTTTGACAAAAAATATGGCTGTGATAATAAAGAGATATTAGAAATCATTTAAGGATAATGTATCATTTCATTTTTTTTATTTGTATCTTCAGTGTTTTAGAATAAAATCCAATACGGGTATTGCAGCACACTTTAAGAAAGAAGATATTTCCATAACTAAATGGTCAAAAATCACGTAGCTTATACAGTACAGGAGTGATCATAATGAGATATCACAACTGCAACTATCCTTAGATTGATAGCCACCTGAGGAATAGAGAGGCTAGTTTGGTTTCCAATACTTTACAAGTGAGTGGGGCTTTGGAGGTCACTTCATTGCAGGTTTGTTTGTTTTTTTTTTTTTTTTTTTTTTTTTTGGTTTTGCATGAGAAAATATGTTTTCATATATATGAAGTAATGTTGATTTTTTTCTTAAACATCATTTGAAATACATTTTTATTCTCCAGTGGCAATCTGTCAATACATTTAATTGCCTTAGTAAAATAGAACTCTTGTCGGTGAAAATGTTGATGTTTTGATACTCCTTTCTGGCTGCTGCCCAGTGAGAATTTGTGGAGCAAATGAAGCATGGCTGTGAGCTCCACAGTGTTAGCTAACTAAAATCTGCTCCTCTCCTGCTAAGGATCCTGACCTGCCAATCTCTATGACATAAAACAGAGTGTCTAGGGGTGTGGGGTCCTGAAGTTGTTGCAGACACTATCTGTTGATTTCTTCCTTTCCTCACTGCCCTGGATTTTCAAACCTTCTCAGCTCTTTCCCTCTCTGCACTATGTGGGACCAGTTTTGGATTTACGGCAGAGGGATGTGTGACTCTGGGGATATGCTGCTTTGGGCATAGGGAGTCCCAGAACTCTAGGAAACCTCTGAGGGTGGGGCAGGATGAAGAGGAAGTGAGTGGAGTTTGTGGCCCACGGAGATGAAGGTCTCACATCAGGTGGACTTTGAGTGTGGACAGAGATGCTAATACCAGGTTCAAACTGATTCCGTTTTGTTTTGCATCCATGCCTTGTGTTGTCATTAAGTATTGTAGAGCATTTCTGTGTGATTTTAAAAAATGTGATGTTTAAATTTTAAAAAAATTTATTATAGTGGAAGACACATTGCCATGAATCCACCTCAAAGTACTCCCCTTGCTTCAAACACAGGTACCCCATTTTTCTTGCCCATTTCTGGAGCACTTCTGAATGTCCTCTTTCCTGAATGTTTTTAATTGCATTGTCCTGAATGCCTCAATACTCTCAATTGATCCAGAACATTTATCTTTCATGGTTACCCTCGGCGGGAACCAGAATTTTCACAGTGCCAGAGTCAGTGAATAAGGTGAGTGAGGGCACAATGCATTATTTTTATTCAAAAGAAATTACAATAAATGTTTTAAATGAATTAAGGTCATATTGATCGCCACGAAAAGACACTCATCCACAAAAGAGGATTTCCAGAACTGCTTCAGAGTGACAAGAATTATTAGGTCCAAAGGGAAAGAGTATTTTGAAGGGGATTAATGACAACATGTCCTTTATGCTGCAGTGTTTTTTTTTTTTTTTTAAATTTAAGCATTCACTGCGTTTTTAAATCACACATTGTGTGTTTGCTCTAAACCTAGCCAATAACCTCAATTCAGGGTCTGGCATGGCCTTTCTGTGCTTCTCCTAGTGTCTTCCTCAGTGATTGGCTCTTGTCTCATCAGAGGCATACAACTCAAATTCAAAAGTGCTGAATGGAACCTTGTTTGATGAATCATCTCCCATCCACAATTTTATGCATCAGCTAAGATATAGTGTTTGATTATGTTGTCCCCTGTAACTGAGCAAGGAAAGAGGGAAGTTAACTGAAGAGTAAATAGTCTGGCTCTGAAAGGGGTCTCAGAAGGGAGGGTAACAGAGGGAGGAGCTATATAATGAGGATGGCAACTAAGAGCAAAAGGGCAGTGTCATGAATACCACTGAGGACTAACAACCTGGTGCTGGTCTTTTTGTATTCATCCTTATTGATCCCAGCCTGTCCAGTGCAAATGCACCACTTATCAGAATGCAGAGAGGGTGTAAAAATGGAAAGAAGAAGCATCCACTGGATGGGGACCGCTGGGGACAGTGATGTAACAGGTAAAACCACCAATCAGGGTCATGGAAGTCAATTCTAGCTTCCTCACCCAGGCTATGCTTCCTAGACGACGCCCATCTGAGACCGGACTCCACCATGAGCTTCAGGCTTCTCTGCAGTGTGACCCTCTGTCTCCTGGGTGTAGGTGAGTTTGGGTTCCAGTGGCAAGTCCCTGGACTACATGCTTGTTCCTGAGGGTTGCAATATTAACTTTTCACTAGGTTCTCTCTGAGTTTTGTTTCTTTTTCCCCACAGTCCCCATGAACACTACAATTATCCAGACACCAAGATATCTGGTTATGGGAACAGCAAACAAGAAGTCTTTAAAATGTGAACAACATCTGGAACATAATGCCATGTACTGGTATAAACAGAATGCTAAGAAGCCTCCAGAGCTCATGTTTGCTTACAACTATCAGCAACTGGTCCAAAATGAGACAGTGCCTAGCCGCTTCTCACCTTGGTGCTCAGAAAAATCTCACATCTACCTTAACTTGACTGCCTTGCACCCAGAAGATTCAGCAGTGTACCTCTGTGCCAGCAGCCAAGACACAGCCCTGCAGAGCAACTGCCTTCCTGTGCACAAACCTGTGGGTCCCCGGGGGAGCTTTGGGGGCAAATGAGGGCTCTGATGCAGATTTCCTGTAGGGTTTCATGGTAAACCATTATGCAAACCATAACACAACTTGCTGTCTCAACCGTCGTGGTGACTATATTTTAAGAACATACTCAGAATATGGAGTTTATTTTCTTGTATGTGACTCTGCTCTGTTAAGTAATAAAAAAAAACACTCTTGAATACAGTGTTTATTAATGCCTTTCTAATTGTGAAATAAAACAATCCTGCAATAAGCAGATTCTTTGGTTTACAAATAAGATGTTGTCCTTAGAGGATTTCACTGTACATTCCAGAAACCACTATTTTGAGTCTCTTATTCCCACAAATCAAGGACTGTGGCCACCTACAGCGAGGCAGCACTGAGCTTAGGGAATCAAAGAAGAAACTTCTGGGCAAGGGTTCCAGGCCTGGCTGCAGCTGCAGAGGACAGTAAGAGATTTCCCTTGGGAAATGGATTGAAAGTGTGTACTGTTCTGTCTTCACCAGTTCTATTGCAGTTCTCTAAATTCTAATTTTTTCCCATTATTGTGGCTTTGCTGTTTTCTAATTTCTCTCTCTCTCTCTCTCTCTCTCTCTCTCTCTCTCTCTCTCTCTCTCTCTCTGTCTGTCTCTCTCTCCCCTCATTTTCTTTCATCTGAAGGGAGACCCTGAGCTCTAGTCTACATCAGTGTGCTGTGTCTGTACAGATGCTCTCTCTGAACCTGGGGATGCTCAGAATGTGGCTGTCTGCTCCCATCCATTCAGTGGAGAGCTCACTCTATCCACGCTCCCCTGCTTACTCTGAAATGTCTCTGCTGATTTTGTGCCTTAGATCCTCACTGGAATATTGAGCAACACCGAGATTTGTGGGGTGAACTACCCACTTTTGTCCCTGTATTCTTCAAATTCTAAATAGTCAGGCCCAGAGAGCTTCTGCAATGAGATCTTGCACTGGCTGTTAGCGAAGAGAGTGGGTTCTGCTATTTCTTGCAGGCCTTACACACTGGCTTGCTGTCCTGAGCCCTGTAGTATTAGTGAGTCGCCATCACTATCACTATTTAACATAAGCTGCACACTTCAGGACACTCTGGGTCCACCCTTGGGGCATCTCATGTCCCAGACTGAGTGCTGATTCCTGTTTTCATTTAGTACCCTTGAGTCTGTGGGTGCAGCACAGCCTGTGACATCACCAGATTTCTTCCTTTGCACTGCTAACAACCAGAGTCCCAACTGAGACACACCTTAGACTTGTGAGACCCTACCATCTATAGAATCCTCCCCTGCTTGGTGATCGTTGGTCTCATGGGGGCAGGTGAGTCCTGGGTGTGCCTACAGTTTCCCATTCTGCCTCTTCTAGGGGTGCTTCCAATCCTTCGTCTCATTGTCATTTTGCTGTCTGTCTCCACAGGACATGGCACCAGGGGTCAAGCCAACTCCCAGACACAAGATCACTGAGATGGGACAGCTGTGACTCAGAGGTGCGATCCCATTTCTGGCACCTGTACATCTATTGGTACCAACAGATTACAGAAAAGGGAATGGAGTTCATGGTTTATCTATACAAGGAACAGAGGGAGCAAGCCAGCTTTTTCTAGGATCAGTTCTCATCTGGGCAGTCACAAGAGTCGCACTCCATTATGAAGATCCTGCCCTTGCAGCTGGGAGACTTGGCCATGTATCTCTGTGCCAGCAGTGCAGCCACAGCCTCACACAGGCATTTCCTGTCCCTACAAATACTCAGTAGCTCCTCCTCTCCTCAGGCATTGAGCAGTCCTTCCTTCCTATGGAGGCAGAGATGTGTAGCTGTGTACTGATTGTTTATAGTGGGGGCAGAAAATTAACACTTTGCATCAGAATAGTCAATAGAACCAAGTATAAGTCAACTCAACTAGGTCTTGACTCTGATGCTAGCTGACTGCAATTTCTTGGGCTGTGGGCCCTCTTCCTTCTGGATGTATGGTCTCTGGAGCTCACAAATGATGTTTTTATGTTCTGTGTTCTTCTTTATGTAAATACTTAGCTGTGGTATAAAGTCTTTTACAGATGCTGTGAAATGAATCAATACTTCAGAGGCATCATTATTGAGACAATCAAGGAAGTACTAGTTTCTGGCCACGTGACAGGATTGGGTTAAGGTGTTGCAAATCAGTCCAGGGTTCTTTTGTGCAATTTATCTTTTTTTAAAATTTTATATTGAAAGTAGTAAAATACAACAGAACAAGAAAGAATAAAGTCAACTAAGATTGTACAGTGAAATTGGTACAGAACTTCACAGCAGGTTACCAGGATAACAGTAATAGGTATCACAGTGTATTTCATTATCTTTACAATAGTTGTTCTTTGAATCACATATATCAAAAATAAAATGAAATATACAGCATTATAGAACTTATCAAAACAGAATATTGAATAGAGTTGTACCATTAATCAGAATAGAGCAAAACAGTAATAAAAATATTTGCCTTCAAAGATATGGTAGAAGGAAATCCCCCTTATTTGCTATGGTCAACCTCCCAGGAGATGCTCAGATTTCTGGTTCCCATTTACTAACGAGAGCGGCGCGCAGGGGGTGGGGGCAGCAGAAGTGGGGGTAGAGGAAGGGAAATGTTTGACTCTAGGCCATGTACCAGTAGGTTCACTATTGCTTAGCAGGGAGGCAGGTTGATTGCTTGGTTTCCCAGCTTCATAAGTTCCAACATAGTGTGGATCTCAAGACACTGGTGGTTCTCCCCCTGGAGGGGCCATAGTCTGCCACACTGCAGCCACTTACCAGGGAGGAGAGCCGCTTGCTTGGTTTCCCAGTATCCTAAGTTCCAACATAGCATGGATCTCAGGAGCTGCTGGTGGTTCTTCCCCTGGAAGGGCCATAGTCTGCCACACAGCAGCCACTTACCAGGGAGGGGAGGTGCTTACTTGGCTTCCCAGCATCCTAAGTTCCAACATGGTGCAGATCTCAGGAGACACTGGTGGTTTTCACCCTGGATGGACCGCAGTCTGCCTGAATGCAGCCGCTTACCAGGGAGGTGAGCTTCTTGTTTCGTTTCACAGGGTCCTAAGTTCCAACATGGCGTGGATCTCATGAGACACTGGTGGTTCTTCCCTTGGAAGGGCCACCGTCTGCCACACCTCAGCCACTCACCAGGAAGCCTTTTGTACAGTTTAGACAGACATCAGGCATTGGCAGATGCAGCTCTGTTAACACCTCAGAAATTGAATCTCAGGGCCTCTTAGTCCTTAGTGTTGAAGTTCTGCACTCCAGATGACCAAGTGTCATAGATGGACTTACCACTGCCAGATGTAGCCATTGGTTATCTCTGGTCAACACTGGCTCCTTCTTCCATTGCCAGATGCTACCACCAGCCAATGCTGGTTGTGCCCATGCTGGTCTCTGTGGATGGTCTCTCCTGATTTCTATGGCCACTATGGAGTTCTTTAGAGCTGGCAGCCCCTAGTGTTTGCACTTGTAGCTCTTTTCTGACACATCCACTTATCCTAAACTGTTTTGAGCTAAGAATCCTGAGTAGATTTACAAGACCTTCCAAGATCATACTGTCTGACAGCTGAATCACAAGTAAATTTGCAGGACCACCAGAGGAAGGTTTTATCTCAAAAAGGCCTGTGCTAAGGAACCTCAGGTGCCAATGTGAGAAGTGTGAAAAGAGTGCTGCTTACACAGGAGCAACAGGCCTGTGGCTGGCTCACATTTCAATTCATTGATTGGTACATATTGAATTCTACTATTTGGTTCAAATTCAATCCCACTGCTTTGGACTCAACTACCATGAACAAAATCCTCTGAAGTTGTGAACCAAATTAAACTGCTGTTCGTTAAGTAGATGTTGGAGGTGTGCCCCACTCATGAAAAAGGTAATGAACACATTTAAATTCAATTTACTCTATAAAGGCTATATCTCCACATACAGTAAGCTTGGGTTTTAAATTAAAAACTAAGTTGCAGAGGAACATAGAGCACTAAGTTCCTAACATGTGAAGTCTTATTACCCACTGGACCTAAGAGTGGGGCACTGTGGCACTATGGGTCTCCCAATGTCTGTGGGGTGTAGCACACAAGAGCTGGCAGCCAAGGACAGAAAAGGTTCAAGAAGAATGATATTTCACAATTTCATCCACTAATATGATTGATGACACATACATGATTCTGTGGTGTGTTTCCACGGCAGGGAGTCAAAACTCCAGCTATATAACAGTTAGAAAACTTTCAGAGTTTCAAACAGATAAGGATATATTTGTGCTAAATTGAGATGGCCTGCATGTGCTGAGTAGTGACAGGCAGAGGAAAATCTCCTCCCAAGGAAAAGCAAGGGAGCTGTGGTGTAGACACAGGGCCCAACCCCAGCCCAACTAGAGCACCCCAAGGTAGCTGTCTACGTTGTGTTATTGTGTCAAAAAAGACCTAACTGAGGTTTTGGACTAGCTGAGCCCAAGGACATGGTAAGAAAAGTAGGTTGCATGGACATCTGTAGAGATCATGACATCACAGAGGTGACATCACATCCTAATGTCCAGTAGAAGAAGTGATGTTTACAGCTCCATCCTTTAGGATGGAGGACAAGAGCCTTGAGCAGAATGACAATGGCTCACTGCTGTCCTATCTTGCCATGTGCTTGAGGTTTCTCTGCTATGTGGCCGTTTTTCTCCTTGGAATAGGTAAGTCCAGTAAACAAGGACAATATCCCCATTATGAACTTGATATCTTCTGAATCTTCCACTCCCCACTGAGAATGCACATCAGGCTAGCTCATGGTTGAATCATTATCTGCTTTTTCCACAGGTCCTGTGGAGTCTGGAGTCTTCAAGATCCCAAGACACAGGGTCAAATTAAAGGACAGCAAGTGACGCTAAGATGTTCCCCTATGCCTGGGCACCAGTATGTGTCCTGCTTCCAATGGGCCATGGGTCAGGGGTCTCAGTTCCTCTTTAAATACTACCATGAATTGCTGAGAGCAAAAGGATACATTTCTAATCAATTCTCAGCTCAATTCCATGACTCCCTCTCTCTCTGAGCTGAACATAAATACC